TGTGGAAATCTTACTTGGAGAACCCTACTTCAATGCTGCTGGACCTTAAATAAAGGAAACCATGGCTAAAATATGCCTTTAGACTCTGTGGATTAGACTGAATAGTTACACAAGCTGTCTCTGCTAACATGTGCCCTTTGCTACGTGCATTATATAATGTCATGTGGTTGAAAGTTCTCAACAGCTGATAGCAGTTTCAATTAGTTGTTGCTTCTTTCATTTTGTATTGCTGTAATTTCATCTACAGCAGACTGTCAAACTGAGTAGGTCACAATTTCTGAATATGGTGGTGGAATGTCTTTATTTTGCCTTTTATAATATTGATTGTCAGGCTGGTGTGACTGAGTGCCACTGCTCTACACCTGCAGTATTTATAATCTGAAGGGAAATTTTGGAGGGGAGTACTCATAGTTCTTCTATTTTGGACACATAAATTTATTTTAACAAATAATATCTGAATTCCTAAAAGGGATTATGCAAAAATCATATACAAATAAAATGCCTTTAATGCTTCTGCTGTAAGCTGTCCAGAGAGCTTTTTGTTGTTTAATTCAGTTAACCTCTTAAATCTTTTACTAGTCCACTTTTTCTGGCAATTACTTGCACAGGTACTCTTTATCAAACTGTAAATGAAGAGGCCATATTTATTCAATTGCTTACTGACAACACTGATTTATAACTATCAAGGCCTTAATACTCTAAAATATCCTATATTTTTTAAGGCTGGAAGTAGTTTCAGCCCTTAATGCTTTCCAGTTATTTTTGATTCTTATAGAAAGCATCTGTCTGTTAAAATGAATTGAGAAAGAGAAAACAAAACAAAAAAAAGAAGGATCTTGTTTTATTATTCTCTCATTAGGTAAGCCTGACAGTAGCTGATCATGATCTTGCATTCTGTTATTGATATTCAGATACTAGAATCTGATAGATTAATCAGATTCAACAAAAAATGGATATTAAAAAATACTGTGAGATATAAGGACTTCTTCTTAAACTCAGACACAAGGCACATAATGAATAGGTTCAAGTTAATGACTTTAGAACAGAAAACATGTGGCTTTAAGGTAAAATAAACAGGTCATGAAGATTGCACTGCTGATTTAATGGCAGATATGAAGAAAACTGTTGGATATAAATACCTTCTAAACACATAAGTTTCACACAGACACGAGAAAAGATAGTTATATAGCCTTAAAAATGAATTTGTAACGCACAAAACGGACATTTTCTCCTTTTTTTAGATATCAAAAACAGGAGCATTCTTCAAAGTTATAGACCAAAGTTGTCTATTGCATTTAGCTGTGAAGATGTGAGACAGGCTACCAGAGGTAGAGTCCCTGCTATCCATGATGCTGAGATGAATAAGAGAAAAGCTGGTAATGTATGGAGTGTGGCACGTCCATGTTAGGTGCTATTAATATTTCTATTGTGCTATAAGGGTCTTTTATATAAAGGTCATTTCTTGCAAAGTTTGACTGTTTTATCATGCTTATCACCCATTTCATTTTTATCAGATTTATTTATTCCTAATAAAAAATGTAAAGCCACGAAATATTGTTTTTATTTGTGAATTTTATGCAGGCAATCCTGTATGGGTGACTCAAACTCTTTCTTCTTGCCTTAAAGAACATACTGTACTCAAGGCTACCAGAAGAACACAGCCTAATGTCTACTTTTCTACAAGTACATTGTTGTGGTAAGGGCTTAGTGTGAAGGCTTAGGATATTTTTTAATCTGATGATCACTGAGAAAATAAATTGAGGAAATAGAAGTGTATGAAAGAAAGCAATGAAATTACTTTGAAATACTTAAGACAGAATAATTTTACTTATGCAAGGAGGAGATTGAAAGCTAAAGTACTTAGTGTCTTTTTAAGTAGGTAATGGTATTCATGTATTTAGTTGTTTGTGGGCTGGAGAGGGTTGGGGTTTTTTGTTATAAAGTTCTGTATGATAGAGTTATAGCCAAATTAATGATACTTTTAAAATTTCATCTTCACATTTTATACTCCAGCTCAATTAGTTAGAAGTATCCAGTTTTATGGCTTCTGCCTCAAATAGTGACCTCGTAGTCATTGTTGTATCTCTTCCCATTTGATTGAAGTAAAAGATTCTGACAGACTTGTTCTCCTTTTGTCTTCTCTAAGGGCTATTTGAAGAAATAGAATGTTAAATATTTTTCATGATTGGAACCATGAAAAGGGATGAGTAATAACCCCTCTGCACATCCTGGTAAAGATTACTTTTCTGTCTGGACTTTGAAAATTTGCAGTAAAATTCTTCAGCAAGAGAATTCTTCAGCACTGGGAAAAGTAATGAGTAAAATACTTAGTGATGTAATACCTTTTCTCATCTGTTTAGTCAATGTTGCTGTTTAATAGCACTTTGAAGCTCAGTTACCTTGCAGAGAAACATTACTAAAGTAAGCAGTCATTTTTAATTCAATACTGGCCTTTTTTATTTCTAATTGTAATTTTTAATTCAAAGCAAACTTATTGCATAGCATAAGAACGTTCCTTTGTTTTCCTTTGTTCACAATTTCTGTTAATGGGAGTCCAGTTTAGGGGAGCCCAGTCACACTCAGCAAACTGGGAAGGCTTCAACAGTGGTAAATGCTTGGGGGGGTTGCAAAATGCCTCATGTGATGCCTTCTATTCTCAGCATAGGTTAAAATTAGAACTGGACTGACATTGCATTGGAGTCTGAGTGAGAGTTTTAAATGGCTTTGGTAATGCAGACAAGATTCATAATTTGTCTCTGCTCTTGTCCAGAAAGCAATGAGTCACAGAAAATCCTTGAAAACACCAAATAATTAAGGTGAGTTGTTGTTAAACTCTTTCTGATGCTTGGAGGTGAAGTTGTTGGGAGATCTGATTATTTGGGAGTGAATTTGCAGTTGTTTTACAGCAACACTTGGGAATTCACTTCTGAATTGTTGACTGTGATGGCAAGATTATTATGGTTTTTATTTTCTTGATGAATGATAAGGTCTAAGAACAAGACCTTTTTGATGGAATCCTGTTACATGATGAAATCATCCTGAAAATAGTCATATACTTAGGTCCTTTGATATTTCATGGTTCTAATTTAGGCAGTAAGGGAGTATTTGTTGAATGATATGCAAAAGAGAGTTGCCCAGAGTAAGCTTTACTAGAAATAAGTATTGGTTTGACTGTATAGTATGTTACTGGGTTTGGTGGTACAACTATTAATAAATGTCTCTTTTCTGCACAATTATATGAAAAGATTTCTAGTTTTCTATCTAAAAGGTCTTGTAGTTCAAAAAATGTCTTTAAACAAGAAATGATATATTAGTTTATCACTTGATCTCAATAGAAATTTAATCTTGAAAAAATCAGGCAATTTGAATTGTTACCACTGACTGGAGCAAAAACTTCATGCATACATAGCATTTCTGTGCATGTTGGGATGGGGACTGGGAAGGGTAGTTACTCTGATCACTGAAAGAGAAGCTAATCCTTCAAACTAGTAAATGTGATCACATTTATGTGGGGAAGGGAAAAAAAGTCCTCTCTTTACAGGAAAAAATCCAGTCCCTCTGTAGGAACCCAAAGGGCAGACTGCACTGCCATGCTGGGGTTGCCATTTGCGTCACTTATCAAATCCTGCCATTTTTCCTTAACAAACAGAGAACACATAAGAATCATAAATATTAGTGCATTGTATCAGATTCTTCTTTATTCAAGCTTTATAATTTGATTTTGTGCTGTCTTTACAACAGGAAGCAATCCTGACATTTTGCATTTTATTTGCCTGCACATTTTAACTTCATTTCGGACTTTACAAATAAGTATATTAGCAAAGGACATGTAAACATTAATTGAATGATTGCCAGTTTTAACACAAAAATGATCACTAAGCAATTGTGGTTTATTCAGGCTACACAAAATTATAACAGAAACAAATATGAAAGAAAAGATTGGTTCTAAAAGACAGACCTGCAGCAATTATTGTAGGGAAATATATGTATGAAAAGACATGAAATTCCTCTTTTGTTGTTACCTACCTACTTGTTTGGAAGAAAGTTATCCTTACTTTTTTAGTTTAGAACATATATAGGACATTTCTCTTACTTGCCACTACAAGTATCAGTAAAAAGTTAGAAAGTGAGGGTTCAGATCATCAGTGTTCAGAGTACACTGCTGCTGGCATGAAGTTTTGCCCTGCAAGCTTGTCTGAATATCAGCATCTTGGCTCCAATAATGGCAATAAGAATGGTTTTTAGAGGGATGCAGTGATTAGGATGAGTGAATATCCTATTTTGCTGCTCTTCAGGACAATATATATTAATTATCTCACTAAAGGATACATCATTTCAGAACTTTAGACTGAGTTTCATTTTAAATGGGAATTCTTACACTCAGTGGGGATACACAAACATTCAAAGAGAAATCAGGATTTAAATGCATTTTCATAAAGGTAATGCATTACTAACTATAAAATGCACTGTACTGAGTTAAACTATGAAGAAAATAAATGCAAATAAAGAATACTAATTAATTTCCAGGAACACTTCAGTTTCTGTGAAGTGCAAAACTCCTTTAGTGACAAGTATCTATATCAGGTAGGTGTCAGAATGCAGCTATCACAATTGAACTGCCTTAGATTGCAGGTAACAGTTTAATGTCTTCCTGGCATGGGAATGAATGCTCAAATCTGCATTTAATAATTATGGTCAACACTTACCCTTCCATTGAAGGAATGAGAGAAGCAGTTGTTCTCTGACTAGGAATGCAGAGATTCCAAAAATACCATTTCTTATTTTAATAAAATAAGAAACTAGGTGCAATCATCTATTTTTATACAGAGAAAGTAGTTGATAAAATCCTGTCAGTTCTTTATATTAACTCATTTGATAACATAAAGAAGTGGGTATTGCAGTATTTTAGTTTTCATGTCACTGTCCCCATCTGGTAACCCATACCTGAAGTGGTGCATTGAGCCTGAAATTCAGTCAGATTCCTGCAAGCAAATCTGAACATGTAGAGGATCATGGCTGAAACTGCAGTTTGCCTGGGAACATTCTCTGCTGTGAAGACACTCTGGGAAGTGAGAATACACAAGATAAATGAAGAATTACAGAGAGAAAAGGAGTTCAGGCAGAGGTCTGCAGGAAGGTAGGTAAATTGTAACTCTAAGTATATGAAAAGCTAGAACATGTGTTACATTTCAGGAGACTGTAATTGGTTCCTTCAAACTCATGCAGACTCTAATTCCTTAGTTGTTACTCCAACAGGATTCCCAGTGATTAGAATTTATCTAGTGTCTGTGATAAAAATATTAGTCTATAGATTAAATTCCCTGGACTCAGATACTAAAATCCTCTGGTCTGTAATTATTCTAACCAGTGAAGATGTGTTATGCTTTCTTCTCCATTGAGGTATTAGAAGGGTTGCTTGGTCTTCTGTTTGGCCAGCAATTTTATGAGATTTAGGATACTATTTCTGGTATTCCTAATTTATCAGATGTGTTTGAAGTGGAACAACAAATTCAAAAGTTACTCATGGAGAATACAAGCAGAAAGACAGAGAATGACCTTGTCATAACTCTTGTGAAGATACCTTTGGAAATCAAGCTGAAAGAAGCTGATTGACCAATTTTCTTGCACTTATATGTGGTGGACTGGAAGGCTTTCATTTTAGGAGTCTGCTTCAAAATGTGCTTCAGAACATAATTCCACATGACTTTATATTCTGTGGCCCTGCTGCAACATGTTGAAAGTGAATTAGAGTCCTCCTTCTGAATGCAGATTTAAAGAACTGTAAAATAGGATTCCTATAAATTGCCTCAGCCAAACATTAAGGGCTTTTCTTCTCTCCAACTGATAGTATATTAACATCCAGATAAAATTAATGCTATTTGACAATAAGGTGCTTGTGTATTTTTCCAGGAAATAGATAGGATATAGTACATAATTATTGTCTGTATTCATTTTGGCACCACTGGCAGATCTTTTTTCCCTTGTAGGCTACTGCTTGTCTGGGAGGAGAGAGCTGCTTTAGCAAAGCTCAAAGAAAAAGTTATTAATGAAGGTGGAAGAGCAATTTTAAGGATAGAGGAGGAAGAATGGAAGGTAGGGTTGATAGGAATGAATGCTGCTTGTGTTGAATGACTCATGCATTAGAAAACTACTATTTACAACTTTACACTTACAGTGGTACTATTTGTGTTCTATTAACTGCTCACTGTGCTTTGCTAACAGTGAATTGGGACACACTGTTGTGAGTGTAAAAGCAAGCTGGGTGGTTTTTAGTCCTGAATGTTAACCATTACTCTGCAAAAACAAAGCCCATAAGACTTTTCTACATTAGAAATTATTTTCACTGCAGAGTATGATTTTCATTATGTAAATTCTCATCTAACATTCACACACCAGAACTACTGAGAGGTATCAAGATGAAAACTCTCTGTGTTTGGGTGCATTACAATATTTCTTATTGTTTGTTTTCTCTTTCTAAGAGTAAAAATGGGCCAGTAGATTCCCAGAACACTATTACTGTTATTTCTCATGTGCAGAGCTAATCTGCTGTTAATGCTGGCAGAGTGAAGGCTGTCAGTGCTCTGAGGCATGCAGAAATGCACTGACCAGCTCCTAGAAAGTCATGAGAATTAGTTTGTGTGGAGGCCAGTGAGAACATGACAGACAGACCCAGCCTTCTGTGCAAAAATCTATTTAGAGCAGTTTCATCTTCAGTTATATTGATTAAAAAAAAAAAAAAAAAAGAAGAAACAAACAAAAACAAGCCTGAAGCCTGAAACTTGTCAATGACAGTGCAGGTATGTAAATCCTGGGAGCCAAGAGAGGGCAGGTTCCATCTATGATCAGAATGACAACCCACACTGGTGCTCACTTCAGGATCATGGAATCAAGGAATATGCTGAGTTCATTGAGTTGAACTCCTGGCTTTGCACAGCACCATCTCCAAGAGCCACACCCAGTGCCTGAGAGCGTTGTCCAAACCCTTCTTGAACTCTGTCAGGTTTGGTGCTGTGAGCACTGCCCTGGAGAGCCTGCTCCAGTGCCCAACCATCCCCTGGGGGAAGAAGCCTTTCCCAATATATTGATGTAAACCTTTATAAAATGTAAACCTTTTCCTAATACGTATGATAGAAAAATCATATCAGTTATGCTTGCTATTTCTAGCTTATTTTAGTTATCAGGATTCATTTTGTAACCTCAATTTTACAGTATAGCTTAAAAAACAGGAAAGGCTGTTAGTGCCTTTCCTGTTAAAATAAAACTTCTGCCTCAGCCTGTATTCTAAGCTGATTTTCTCCTGGTTTGTATTTCTTGCTGTAGACATTACCTTCGTGCTTATTGAAACTAATCCATCTCCAGGAATGGCAGCTTCACAGAACTAGCTTGCAGAAAATTCCTCAGTTTATTGGAAGATTTCACAGCCTTGTTGTTCTGGATCTATCCCGGAACTCAATTGAAAGTGTACCTAAAGAAATTGGTGAGCTGTGCTTTCTTTTATTTTAAGCTGCTTTTCTAAGAAAATTGGTCTCACACAAATGTACCATTTTTGTGCCCTTTGCTTGTCGGATAATCCTATTGGGTAGTGGGAAAACAGATTATTTAAATCTGACAGTGAGAGAGATCTCCAAACCATAAATTCCCTATAAGCTAAAGATGGGCCTGGATGGAAGAGACATATCACCATGAAAGCTCCCCATGGCAAAAAAAGGACCTGTTTGCACAGCAGGGACTACACATGAGAATGCAGCAAAGTGATACTGAAAAACAGACTGCATGCTCTGAGTCCATGGCAGGAGTAGCCTAGTCACAATTTTTTGGTTTTGGGTTTTTTCTTGAAGCACTCTACTACATTGCAGTCCTGTACTAAAGAGTCCTGAGGTGCTGCTATTTGCAGTTTGGTGATTTTTTTTTTGTTTGTTTTGTTTCGTGAGAAAACAGAGCATTTTTATACCAGTAAAAGGATAAAGCAAAACAAATAATAGTGCTTCAAATAGAATAAAGATTAACATTTCTCATTTGTGCTCTCTGCAGGCCAGCTGACCAGCCTCCAAGAGCTGCTTCTCAGTTACAACAGAATAAAATCTGTTCCCAAGGAAATAAGTAACTGCATCAGTCTGGAAAGATTGGAACTGGCTGTCAACAGAAGTATCTGTGATCTTCCTTCTCAGGTTTTGAAAGACTGTTTAGTTTTGCTTGATGCATATTTTGAATTTATCCAAAGCCAATTATCATTATATGCTGCATTTCTGTTTTCAGATTTCACAGCTGTGAAGCTGTGATTTCACAGTACTCCACACTGATGTGAACAACCTTTCCATGACTGGTCAAACTGAAGCCACATGAGGAGCACATACACACACCTGAGTAGCTGAAGGAGCCATTCTTTATTTTGGCCAGATAAATGACTTGGCAGTGCACAGAGGGCAGTGACACACTCCACATCAATTTGTTTAGGCTGGATATCATCACTGATTTACCCCACTAAGAATTTGATGCCTTAGCACAGAGAAGTTCTCTTTTATGGTTGAGAGTACAAATTCATAGCACATGCCAGGAGACAGCTGTAAGCATCTTTACCAGAACAGATCTGAAAAGGGGTTGTGTGATTTATACAACTGCATGTGCAGAGCTGAACAATTGTTGTTCTCAAATGTTGAAAACGATTATGAGAGAATGAAAACAACTACTCACCTACTATTGAACTTTAATTTGAACAGACCAAAATGTGAGAGACCTGCATCTGTAACTATCAGTCTCTTAGATAGGGATGACAAGTATGTAACCATATTTACTTGTTTTATTTTAAAAAACCAGTCATGGCAATAGTTGACAGCAATCAGTGCCTTGCAAAATTGAGTGAGTCCAAATAGCAATAGCACAGAATCTTCTAATGGAAATATCCACTATTAACCAAAATCTAGAATTTACAAAATCTATGTGGATACAGATTGCAGAGTGTAATGTAGAAAATTCATAGTTCTGTCTGATAGAGACTGCAGTGAGGTGAGCACTGGGAAGCTTTGGTTATGAACACTTGAGTGGCATTCAGTGTTCAGGAAATTGCACCAGATCTGCTAGAAAACATCTTTGTACCACTTGAACATTGCAAAAACACCTGAAGGCATCATTCACCAAAGGACTTGGGTGCTGTGATACTAGATTGCATTTTTAGAATGTAGTAGACTTCACAGCATGGAAGGTGTCATGGTTCATTCTAAAACACAGTCCATGCAATTCAATACATAAAAATCTAAATATTTGACTAACAAACAATGGCATATTGCATTGAGTATGAAATTCTAAGGACAGGGCTGTTTTTAACATTCTTTTTCTTGAGGCTTGGGGCATATCTGCATTGTAGTCAGCAGTTATGGCACTCACTACTGGGTGGGAGATAAAGTTCTGCTGCCTTATCAGTTCCCAACCTATCTACCTTCCGGGCAAAACTATTATTGTCAGGTACTATCAGCTATTGGAACTCAAAACCATTCTGTGTTTACAAGCTCCAAAATGTGTTGTAATGTTTCTTAACACTACTAGATTATTGCTGTACTGCTGCAGCAGCTACACAAAGTTGCATTAAATCTCCCCTTCTTTTCAGCTCAGTGATTTAAAGAAGCTGTCACACATAGATTTGTGCATGAATCAGTTTACTGCCATCCCTTCAGCTCTCCTCAACATGCCAAATCTAGAATGGTTAGATATGGGGGGAAACAAACTCCAGGAGCTTCCTGATGCAATTGACAGGTAAATACAGCTCAAAGCTCATCTTAGTCTCAATTCCACTGCATTGAAATTCTAATTAATAAACACTACTTCTAAAGATAATTTTTATGTTAACCTCACTCCAAAGTCAACATTTTATCAGCCCTAATGTGCTGTTTGGATAAGCTGGAATAATTAATTAAATTAACAATAAATTCAGTATCAACTATAAGGTTAAATATGTATTGTCAATTACATTTTTGAACAGAGGTTGTTATCTTGCATATGGGGTTTCTTTTGAGACTTGTTGCACTATGACTCCTTTATGTGGCTGAAAAATTAATTTTATGGTAATGACTGAGAGGAATAATTCTTTGAATCTTGATTTATTGCACAAATGCCTATTTTTCAGAATGGAAAATCTCCACACCTTATGGCTCCAAAGGAATGAAATAAACTCTTTGCCAGAAACCATTGCTAATATGAAAAATCTTAGTACTCTTGTTCTTAGCAACAACAAACTTAAGGATATTCCAGCTTGTATGAAGGACATGACAAATCTGAGGTAAGAAAAAGCACCAGTAATATACATGAAAATAACTAGAAAATACTTTTTAAAGTCCCCCTTGAGTTGTAAATCACAGAGTGATACTAAGGGAGAGGAAAAGGCATTTCACAGTTGTACAGATGGATGCAATATATCAGCATAATTACACAGATTCACAACAATTAAGGATCCGGTGAAGTAAGCTCTGTGTAGTGAAACTTAGTTAAAGACGTAAATTATGATAGTTACAGTCCACATGGAAGGTAGACTATAATAAATTTTCTCATTTCGTAGCCCTCCCACTATAACTGCCCTTTGATATCACTCTCTAAAAGCAAAAGCTTGTGGAAAAATGTGGCAGGCATTAAAATGACAAAAAGTAGAACTTGCTATTGAGAATTCAAGCATTCAGAATTAAACAAAATTTATTAGGTTTAAGGATATAGATGAAACTATCATGTACTTGACATGAAAAATAAAAAATAATGTAAATTCTTAATTGGTAGAATTTGAACTACTCCTTAGCGTACTGTGACAGAAACTTTCCTGTTGTTAGCATTCTCATTTGGATTACTGGATGCTGGCTGTTTTAGAGAAAGAATGCTGGTCTGCATAAACCATGCCTAACTCAGGAAGCCAATTCCTGTTCTCAGCTCTTTTGGAAGAAGCTCCTTAACTAAATATATACAAGCATAGGCCCAAGGATGGAACAGGAATAAAGAGAGACAGGACTGCCTCCTGCCTTGCAAAGCTGGGAGGACCACTTGCACTGTTCTCATTCACTCACCTGTTTGTGAAAGCTCAATACACCTGACAGTGGGGTCAGAAACTGAAGACAAAATGATGAAGACCACAATGTTTTTCCCACCACAATCAGTTACTGTTATAAAGCATCTTCTTAGCTAACTTAATATTAATGGTAGAGTGGTGAGTTTAGTGTAGAACTTAATTTCCTTTTGCTTAAAATAGTTTGAGAAATCTTAATTCAGTTTCAGAATTCAGAATTATTTTCTCTGGAAAAAACTTACTGCAAGATTAACCTTTTCTGGTGATTCCTAGATTTGTCAACTTCAGAGACAACCCACTGGAGCTGGAGGTAACACTCCCTCCGTGTGAGAACACAGATGAGGAGCAGCAACAGGAAATGTTTGGCATTGACTTCATGCACATGTATATCCAGGAATCACTCAAAAAAACAGGTATGGCTTTTTATTAATTCTGATCTCTCCACAGCACAGTGAGGAAGAGAGGGAGAAATTGGATAAATAAAATCTAGGATACATATAAAAATGAAACATGAATAACCTTCTTAATAAATGAGTAATGTTTTCCAAAAAAAATCTGTAAACAGGCTTTTACTGAGGACAGGGGCACTTTTAACAGGAGTTGGGACAGCACAGATTCTGGTAGGAACATACTGGAACCATGGAGCACTGTAATAAATGTGCCTGAGTTACCTACACCATGGATAAAGAGAAGCTGATGACTTTCTTTCATATCTGCAATTTAATCAGTTTACATAGTGGAGGTCCTCTAACATCCTTTAATTCATGAAGTTCAACTTTTCCTATTTTTGGATGTTGTCCAGATGGTACTTCCAGAGGAAGATTAAGGGAGAAATGTCTATGTTCCCAAGGTACATCTTTTAGCAATGAACTATCAACACCTGGTAAACAGATGTTTCTCACAACTTGCTTTCCCTGACACAAAATACAGTCACTTAAACAAACACCCCCAGTTTCATCCCATTTCAAAAACGTGACAGAAATTTTCTGTTCGTTGTCTCTGGGGTAACAGCTTTATGCTGCAGTAAGAGACCCAAATAAGCACTTTGGAACAGATACTCAGTTGGCAGCTGTAACTTGCAGCAAGCACTTCACTGCAGATATAAAATGATCTCTCTGATCTTCATTCTGTGCTTTGTGAAGGCTTAAAAAAGTGAATGTAATGCTCTTGTTTTAGAACAGCTTTTTTCTTATCAATATTTCATGAATGAATTATCAAATTAGCAAAAATATCCCAAGATGACACTTTAGACATAAGTTTTCTTTCTGAATAGATTCTCTAGCAGCACAGGCTGATCAAAGTACTTAGGCCTACTTAAATATTTTAAGAGGAAATACAAAGCTATTCTGAACTTCAAAGTGAGAATAAAGTACATCAACTTATTTTAATCTATTGTCTTTCAGGAAATGTGGAAAGTTGTACTTCTGGTTCTCCTCCTGCCATGAATCCTAATGAATAAAGAATGTAACTGTGAATGGAAGAAAATATCAAGTACACTTCTTCACAGCAAAGAGGCTACAACAGGTTTCAAATATTCTTAGGGATTTTATTTTTCCATTGATGAGAATTGGTTTGCATATTTGTAATTCCTAGTGAAACTGGAAAATATAAGACCTTTTCTTGGGTACAGGAAAAATGATAAAGGTTTCTTTTTGTAAGAAATGAAATAATTTTTATAAAATCCCAGGTGAGTTTTATAGGGTTAGTTTTTTTTCCCTACCAATTCCAAATCTATCTTCTGTCATACAGTTGGCTCTGGTATCACAGAAGGATTTGGGACAGCTGTCAACAGGACATTCTCCAAGGACACAGCAGCCTCTGTGTAATACTGCAGTGCAGCCTTGTACCCTTGCTGTTGTAGATACTCAATCCGCCCGTGATCAATCAGCCGTTTGCAGAGGCAGCCCAGCTCCTTCCTCTCCTCAACACTCAGTGTCCTGTTCCACATAAAGGAGGGAAGGAAATAGTTTTGGTAATTAACATTCATAGTTAAGCTTAGAAAAACTACTGAAATCATTGTAAGTTCATTTCAGTCAGGTAAGCATGACGGTTGAAATATTTTGAAATGTACGTCCATGAAAATATTTTTAAAGTAAAATTTGTCTATTAGTTTAGTAATGAAATGTTTCTGCAAAATTAGTCCTTTTGAGGACACAAAACAATTTAATGTGCCACTATACATAGCTTTTCTGCTGGAGTCCATTTGCTAGGAAAAAAATGTACATACCCTTGTAAAGTATCAGAACCACTTGCTGTACTGCTGAGTGTGTGCTCGTGTTCTTCTGTGCCATTAGTTTGATCTTCACTGTCTTCACGTGTAGAAGCTTTGCCTGTGGTTTCTTGCATGCCACAAGTGGCCCAACTGCTCATTCTCTGAAAATAATGGAATTCTTCTGGTCCCAGTCCTACTGATTTAAAGAACTCTCTGCCTACATAATGTGTCCAGTCACACTTGTGATGGCAACACAGAGCAATAACAATTCCAGCTACAGGCTTATGGTCTTCTGTGATGCTTTCATTACCAGCTGATTTGTGAGGAGCCACCTCTGTCTGAGCAGCCCTGCAGCGTTTTGGTGCAGGCTCTTCATCTTTTCCATCACAGCAAGTGGTGTAACTTTCTACCAAGCATCTCAAAGCAAGATCTGGGAATGAACAAATATATCCCCCCCAACAAAAAATATCCTTAAGTACCATGCCATTATTTATACAGGCTGTATCATGGTTGGGAATGTGCTTCTCACAAAGAAAAATAAAATTACACATCACAAACTAAGCCAAAAAGCAAGTTCAATAATAACTAAAAACCATGAAAACCCTAAATGTTGTTTCTCTGGAGCTTCTAAGAGCTTACCTTCTGAAATATTTGTTCTGCAAAAGCAAATTTAAAATAGTTTGGTTAAAAAATTGGCATATTGTAGGAGAATCTCCTCCCAGTAAAACACATGAGTATTTGCTCTAAAAGTTTGATATCTAGGACACAGTCTATTAAATATGCACATGTACTTCTTAAATGCTTAACTGTGTCATCTTTGTCACACTACCTATAACAGTGTCATATTTGAGATGTCTTTCTCTACATAGTAGCCATATAACATTAGAAAAACTGTATTAGGTTAAAGTTATCAGGAGAGAAACACAATCTTATTTGTGTTTTGGAATTCAGACTGGCAATAATATTTTAGAGAGAAAATTTTTTTAAAGAAGAGGCAACTGTGCTAAAAAGTACTCTCAAATACATGACCCATGCCACCACACACTGTTCTCTGTTCTAATCTATTAAAGCCAAGAAGGACTTCACTTCTCCCTAAAGTATCCTTTTACTATTCCACTGGAGTCAAGAGATATTTAGAATATAATTACTGTGTTCACCAAAAAAGGTTTAGAGGGCAAGAACAGCTTAAAAGGACAGTTTGGAAGATCAGTGTATTCATAGCGTAAGGTTTATATCCTGACTTTCTGCAGTTCACACATCTGTAATTCATACCTGTTGCAGCACCACACAAATGCTTCCCAATTCCTACCACCGGTAGTTTTTTCTTCTCCAAAATAGGTACCTTATCTGGAGGGAAAACAAAAACAACCAACAAACCCCCTTCCAATCCACAACTACCCCAGCACCTCTGGTTTTTCTGAATAATATCATTTCAGCACACTTAGAAATCAATGTTTGCCACTACTAAAAATACATTAATTGGCACATTTTGTTAAGACAAATTAGAAGACTAGGATGCAGTGGCTGGGAAGCACATTTAACCATTTCAGCCTTTCTCTACTGGCTATGAAAGGTAAATGCATCTCCTGCTGACATGTGCTCCCACAAATTCTGTAGCATTGATGGTGCATCACTTGCTTAATTCTACACATAAAACAAACAATGCAACATGTTTAATTCTGCAAGTGCTAAAAAACCTTTGAAATGTATTTGTTTTGGTACTTTCTCACATATAATGATGTCCTATGGATGTATAAAAAGTAGAAAACTTTAAAACTCCATTTAAAATATATGTATATGTGTATCTATGTATATTCACGCATGCCTGTGTGTATATATGTGTATACATACATACAGCATCAACATGTCCAAGCAACCACTGAGAATAATCTTCAGAACTGACATTTAAGCATGTTACACACAAACTGACTGGAACCCCAATTCAAAATTTAAAAATAAGCCTCTACTTCAGAATGACACAGGCCAAGAAGGAACTTACTTAAACATAAGTGCTGAATGTCTACTTGAAGCCTCTCAAATATAGAATCTCTCCTTTTGTGTTTTCCATCCACCTGTTTAAGGAGAACAAGAGATTGCATAGGGCTGGCCACTAATAACTATAATTTTGCTCCAGGTATTAATGAATTTTAAAAAAAGTCAGACTTTTTTCTTGTCAAATCAACATTTGAATTTCCAACATTAAACATCAGGATTTTTTTCTAATAAATTTGCTATTGGTGAAGTATGGAATGTATAACTTGTAAAATTTAAATGTACTGAGGATAAAAAATGAATACTAACAGCTTCAACTGCAATGGTTTAAAAATTATACTTTACTAATGGAACAATATCCTCTTACCTTGAATCTTGTGGTTGCCCTTTCCACAAGCAAAAACTGAACACTTTCAACGTTCTCTAAGGCAATATCAACCCAATGAGACAGCTTTCCTCTCCCAGCTCCAAACTCAACAAAACACCTTCCTGGACCAAGTAAATGCAATCTTTCCATGTTACCTAAAATAGAAGCCTACAAACATCAAAAGATTATTTGTGAACCAAGAAAATATATACCTTGTGTTTTGTAATGCCTTGTAGAAAAATTATTCTTCACCAAACTGCAGAAGACTTTTTTAAGCCTTGCTTTCAGTAAGGGATAAGGGAAAAGAGGATGTATGTACAGAGGAAAGGGATTATATCTTCTGTTTTACAGTATCAGATTTCCTCTGTGGGAAGCAACTGGATTTATGCACCCAGGCTCTCAAATTTACAGCAGCACAATTCCATGTCCAAACTTCTCTATAGTTATTAGTAAATCAGAACAAACCTGTTGTTTCAGGTGTTTGAAAGCAGATTCCCCATTTTTTGGGTCACTTAAGGCTTCCTGTAAAGCCTGGTGGGACAGTATTTGTTCCTTAAGATGGAGTTCCAGGCCTGGAGGCAAATGCAAAACTTTTAGGTACAGCTTTTGAGTTTCCAAGGGTTCCCAGTTTGTTTCCCACATTATTACAATTGTGACAAGAGCTCAGTTTGTAGCACTAACAAAAGTCTGCTGAGAGTGTAAAACTATCATCATATGTTTATAACAGAGCTGTATTGTTATCTGTAGTGACATCTGAGTGAGAAAAAAAAAAAGAAAAACAAAAGGAAGGGAACACAGATTGGAGTTTTATCATTCTTTTAATCTAGTTTACTTTTTGGAGGTCTGCCTGATAATTTAACTATTGGAGGTCTGCCTGATAATTATTTCAGATGTGTTTTATGACAGCTATCTCATATTTTTACAGGTATCTAACAACAAAAATAACAATGAAATATTTAATCAATTCAATTTAAAACAACTTATATTTAGTATTTAGTATTAGGCTCACCATTACTTGCTTTTTTCAACCTGGTAATTAAATTCTGCAGCTCTTCGATAGATAGAGAAGATAGAGGAACCTTTTTAGGGAAAGAAAGTGACACCAGTGAGACCTTTGAAATTTTCTGTATCTTTGTAAAATTTATGACTTGTAAAAGTCATAAATTTGCAATGCAATGTAAGGACTGAACCTAAAACCAAATAATGTACTCACTTGTTTTTCTGGTATTTCTGAGACATCTTTTAAACCAGCATTAATATCTTGAACAAAGTAGACCTTAAAAAAAAAATTGATTCAGTTAATTACCAGGAAGCAAATAGCTAAATTCTTCAGTGTTCTTATGGTAAGGTATGTAGCAATAGAAATCCACTGCAAAGATTTTCCAAGTAATTTTCCTTCCTATAGTCTGATCCTGAATCCCAGCCAGAAATTACTCTTCTGACACAGTTTTACAAGATTGAACATGCTCATAAGAGTTAAGCAGTCAGGGTTTACTAGACAGATTCCAGAGACCATTTTCAGGTTTCCCAGGGAATACTAAAGGTGTAATTCTAATAAGGCAGCAAGGCAGGCCATAAAGAAGTCATCCTCTGCTTTCTTGAAAAGAGCATTTTAAACACATGTTTAAAATGTGTTGTAAAGGTCCTGTTGCTTCCCTCAGCAGGTGTCAGCCAAGCTCTCTGTGGCTCCGTGCCAGCCTGGCTGGAGCTGGCAGCTGGCTGGGACACCCAGAGCTTCTCTGCAGGTTCTGCTTTCCCAGGACAGCCTCTCCCCCAGCCTCTGAAATGAATGGCACTGGGAGAGCCTCTTCCCTGCGTGTGTTTCTGAGAAAAATGAATTCAACATTTTTATTTGTAACCAGGAACTGAAAAAGTGTACCAAATTACAGTGAGAAGGGCA